TGGTTCCAAGTATATGACATTCTGGATAAGGCAAAACTATGGAGCCAGCTGAAAGACCAGGGTTGCCAGGGGTTGGCAGGGAAGGAGGGATGAACAGGCAGAACACAGAGGATTTAAGGGCAGGGAAACCATTCTGTATGATATTACAGTGGTGGACGCATGCCATCATGAATTTGCCAAAACCCATAGAATGGGCACCACTGACAGTGAACCCAAATGTACCCGTGGACTGTGGGTAACAATGACCCACTCTGGTGCAGGATGTTGGTAGTAGGGGAGGCTGTGCGTGTAGGAATAGGGGGTATATGAGAAATCTCTGTACTTACCACTCTATTTTTAATGTGAACCTAAAACTGCTCTAAAAAAATCAAAGAAAAATAATGTCCTTTCCTCGCTCTGCCACTAATGGAGGATGTCAGCAGGGATCGCGACCTTTCAGCAGACTTCCTCGCTCTGCCACTAATGGAGGATGTCAGCAGGGACCTTTCAGCAGAAAGGCTAAGCTCCTCCTTCCAGATGGGCACCTCCACACCCCCCGCTCATGGCCTGCCAGGGGCTTTGGGGCCTTCACAGAGAGGAGCCTGAGGGCATCTGGCAGGAGCTCGGCAACCACTGGCCAATGGCTCAGAGCGTCCTTCTCTGGACTCTCTCACTCAGGTCCTGGACAGCCTTGCCTCACCCTCCTGCCCAACCCTCCATCCTGCCCTGACATCCTCGGATACCGAAAGCAAAGCCACAGGAGTGTCCTCCACAGTTGCACCCCTGTGATGGGAGTGAGCGAGAGGGGAGGGGACATCAAGGCTAAAGCAGTGGTATGTGGATCGCAGGAGTGTTAGGAAACTCCTCCCTCCAGCTCCTCCCTCTAACCTGGCCTCACTGTGGCTGGAGGGCTGGCAGGAGACGGGAATGCCTCCCACTCAGCTGCTGCCACCCTGGCCCCAGTTAATCATTTACTGGTGCGCTACAAACAGGCGCCAGCACTGTGCCCTAACAGCACACAGACTGGCCAACCTGTCTCAACCTGGATAGAGGGGTATTCTGGGGCTGAGAATGGGGTTCCCATAAACGGGCCTCCCATCACCGCCCTGCACAGGAGCCTCAGACAGCCCCTGACAAAGGGGGTTCCCCCAGTGCCTGATCCTGGAGCATTCGCCTGGGGGCACCTTGGCGAAGGACCTTCTGGCCAACACTCCCACGCAGTCACGGCTGGAGATGACGGGGCCTTGAAGACAATGCCAGGCCACCCCCCACTCCCAGAGAAAACAGCACCGTGTGTCACGTTCCCAGCCCACATCCTGGAGACCAGACAGCTTTCTCCTGGGTACGCTGCCCACTGCGTGTGGCAGCTCCCCTGGCAACGCGCCCCACTTCCAGACCCACGGGCCTCATGCACGAGAAACATACACACAGACTCTCAAGCGTACCTAGATTCTCTGGAAGGCTGCCCAGACTTCGGGGGCCGGGCAGCTATAGGAAAGTAAGAAATGAGATTCACAGATGGTTGCTTAAAACACACACAGCGTGAACCAGAAAACAGACCAGCCACCTCTACGCAGGCTTAGGAGGAAAAGCAGTTGAATCTTCTCTAAAGACTGGATTAGCATCCTGGCTCCGCCTACCAGTTGTGTGACCTGACTTCACTTCCCTGTGTTTTCCTTTACTCCCTGGAATACGGGAAAATAAATAGGATCTACCCCTCTGAGGCTTTAGTATTAAATATGTTAATGGATGTAAAGCATTTAACACGAAGTCTAGGACACGACACAACCTCTGGAAATGCTCTAACCCCGTGTTGTCCAACTGTAAGAATCACTAGCCACACATGGCTTCTGAGTACTTGAAACATAGCTAATTGGCAAAGTTTTTGTTTTTTAATACTCACCTGAGGACATGTTTTTATTGATTTTTAGAGGAAAAGGAAGGGAGAGAGAGAGAAACAATGATGTGAGAAACATAGATCTGGTGCCTCCCACAGGCACCCCAACCAGGGACTGAACCTGAAACCTAGGTATGTGCCTTGACAGGAATCGAACCCGCAACCTTTGTGATATACGGGATGACATTCTAACCAACTGAGCCCCCACCCAGGACAGGAAGTATTATTGGTTTAATTATACATAATTTAAATATAAGTAGGCACATGTGACTTGTGGCTCACATTGGACAGTGCAGACCTGGAACATAGTAGGTACCCAATAAATGCTAATTATGATTATCATTAGGGGTTGTTACATTGGAGGCTCACTGGGTTAGAAATTAGGAGGCACCATTTCATTCTGAGCATGGCGCTGTATTGTGCTGACCTATGTATCCTGGCATATTACAGGGTGGTTCTCAACCGCATTTGGATATTTGGGTTGTGGACCACTTAGAGGTACTAATGATAGCTGAGGATACCCTCTCCACACACCAAGTACAAAGTGTTGATACAATTTCAGGGCTCTGTACACCCCCCGAGTAGAAATCTCTCACCCTCATCCGGCAGACACCTGGCACACAGGTACCCAGGCAGCACCTGGGATCACAGCCAGGCACAGAGCACAAGAGTGGATACGTCCACTGTTAGAGGCTGGGCTCCAAAGGCAGGGACCCTCACTCCTTTGAGATGGACATTTGTGACTTCTCTGCCTGGTTTCCATCTCTGTCTGGTCCTTTCCCCTTGACTCTCCTCTGGGACCCCTTCGCTCTCAGAGATCTGACTCCACACTTCACCTCTCAGACTGGACCAATCAGAGCACTCCATCCCACAGTGATTGGCACCAAAGAAGCACTTGAGCCAAACTGGTCCAACGAGAACTAAGACTTTTGCTTGAACCATGGGGAAGGGGCAGCTCTCTTTCTGTTGTGATGCCAAGTTGGCAGATTGTGCCCTGAGAGCTGCTGGGAAACATTCTACCTCCCCACAGAGAGGGGCAGAACCTAAAGCCAACACAGAGACAGGAAGCACGGAGAGATGGAGAGATGGGGGTCCTCATGACACCACTGGAAAACCTGGATACAGCTGTACCTGAAGCTGGACTCATCCAAACCTCCCCAAACTCCTATTTTTAGTGTCTCTTTTTCCTTTTCACTTTGTGTTGATATGTTTACTTATTGTTCCAGCTAGTTTTGTGAGCAAGTTATTATCCAACTTGAAATGAATGGAGCTCACTAAACTATCTTGTTCTGCTGCTTCTCAGCTATGTAACCTTGGTCCGGCTTCTTAACCTCGTCAGTAAAGAGGAGTTTCTATTTGTACCTACTCTATAGGAAGACTGCTTTGTGGGCTGAATGAGATAAAGTAAATCATTGTTTAAGAAATGGTAGTTGCTATAATTCTAAATTACTAGTTAAACATAATTTACTAAGTAATTAAAGAAGAATTCACTCAGTGCCCAAGCATCACCAAGTCTCTTGAACTCTTAGGACTTCAATTCTCTGATTTTTAAACGGAGCCTTACTGCAAAAGGACCTGTTCCTGTCCTTTGTAAACACCCACAATCTGAATTCCTTCAAGATTTTGCAAAGAAAAGGCACAAAAAGCTATTCATCAAGTATATATATATACTTGGGGGCGGGGGTGGGCGAGAGGAGAGAAACATACTAGGAGAGAGAGAGAGAGAGAGAGAGAGAGAGAGGCGAGAGGAGAGAAACATACTAATAGATTTGCTCTTCCCCTATTTATGCAGTCATTGGCTAATTCTTATACGTTCCCTAACCAGGGATCAAACCCGAAATCTTGCCTATGGGGACGATGCTCTAACCAACTGAGCTACCCGGCCATAGCCCATCTCCTATCTTCTTGTATTATCAAAAGAAAGAAAAATACGCTGGTCCCCACTGGAGTTCAGCACTCTCAGCCGCCTCACCCAGGGGCTCCTAGCGGCTAAGTGGCAGGGCCAGCAGGCTCATGGGGGTTTCTGACCTCCTGGGCTGAGGGATTTCCTCAAGGGGCCAATGAGCAACTGGACCCAGAGGGAGGATCCAGCTGCCCACCCCGGATGGCCATACAGCCAGTCAAGACTCAGTCCTCCTGATTCCTACCCAAGGGCTCGTCCCTTTGGATCCCATAAACACACCTTCCCAGTCTACAGCACTGCTCCTGTGGCCACGGCACCCCCAGCCCAGGGTTTACCCGGGGAGAACAAGATCCCATGCTGAGAGCACCTGCAACTTCAGGTGGGATCAGAAAGGGCAGCAAAATGTCCTTATGGAACTGAGCCTATCTGGCTCCTAACTGGGTGAGCCAAGCACAAATTCTGTTGAATGCCTGGCAGGCAGGGATGGCACACCGCACTGCTGTGTGGTCGGTGATGCCCCCACTCTCAGATGCACCAGGAAACTGAAGCCAGAGAGATTCACGCAGCTACTGATGGCATGGCCAAGACCTGAACTCAAAGGGTGGCCCTTTCCCTGACTCCACTCTCAGACAGCTCATAACCACATGTGGGTCACTGATTTTGGCTCCAGAGTGATGAAAAGCAGGGTTCTGAAACCAGCCCCCCAAGCTGTGCCATTGATGATCTCCGCTCCCTTAGGCCAATTATTTGCCATCTCTGTGTCTCAATTTCCTTATCTACAAGGGAGAGTGTTTACCCACCTCAAGGGGTGTTGAAATAATTAAATGAGGTCACTCATATAAAATGCTCAGTAAATGGTGTTTTAAAAAAAACTTTATCCCATTAGAATGGCTGGAGCCCTTGGTTTCCTTAAAGTGAAGTAAAGGCTCCCAAAAAGTCTTATCAGCTATTGAGTTTTAATAAGTCTTAAATACGGACTTGGCAAATTCAGAAGACAGAAAATATCAGAAAGACTTGGCTCTCAGAGAGTGATGTCAGCCAAATTAGATGACTCGAGGTTCTTAGAGTCCTGGATCTTGTCCAACCTTGTCCACTTAGAAAGCAGGAGAAGGAGACAGGGAGAGGGGATCTGCTAGGAGGCCACAGGTAGTAGGAGCAGAGTTGGGACAAAGACTCGGGTGTCCTCACTCCCCATGGTGATGGCAAAAGTGTCCTTCCTACCTGCCAACCAGCACCAAATGCTACCCCCCTCTCCCGGAGCCCCTCGGAGGTCACTGCAGTGGAGACCCAGCCAGAGTGCACGGGAGACAGAACCTGCTTTCACACTGAGCCAGGGGGCTAAAGCCCAAGGCATCACTATCAGAAGCTCCTGGAAGCTGCATTGTCCGAGACCTGGAAAAAAAATATCAAAATGCACCGACAGATATGGTTGCATTATTCATAAAGAGAAGTTCTGCCGTCTTAAGCCTGAAAGCACAACGCACAGAAATGGTTTGAGTCAACCCTGCCAGCAGCAGAGAGCCCCAAAATATCCCATCCAGATGTCTAGAATCCTTCTGCAAGCATTTCTGGAACCCCTACTTGGCCCAGCAGGGGAGTAAAGGGAGAGCTGTGATTTCCTGCCCAAGATTGGAAGCTCAGAGAACAAGACAGAAGTTTCCTCTCTAGCCTAATGACTTTGTGCCACCCCCATTTGTTACCTACAATGATCGCTTGCCCAGCAGCCTGAGCAGCCTACAGCATAGGTGAGTTCATGTTCCCCTCTTGCTCAAACCCTCTCATGGCTCCCATTCGCTCAGAATAAAAGCCAAAGCTTCTGAGGGATGATTAGCTTCCTGCTCCTTCTCTGACCTCAGCTCCTCCTCCTCTTCCTCCTCCTCCTCCATTTTTACTTCCCTCCAGCCGCATTGGCCCCCTTGCTATTTTTGACTCAAGGCCTTTGCACATGCTGTTCCCTCTGTTAGGAACACTCTTCCTGCAGTCATCAGGGTGGCTCCCTCCTTTCCTTCTGCTCATGTCACCCCATCAGAGAGGCCATCCCTGACCCTCCTCTGGTGATCCCTTCTCGCCACTCTCCAGCCCTTCCCAGCTTTATTTCTTCATAGTGCTTGTCACTCCTAACATATATTTACTAGAGGCCTGGTGCATGGATTCGTGCATGGGCGGGGTCCCTCAGCCTGGCCTGTGCCCTCTGGCAATCCGGAACCCCTGGGGGATGTCAGACTGCCGAAGCAGCAGGAGGCTGGGGAGGAGCCTCAGCCGGACTGGGCACAGCTCCACTGCTGCTTGCCCCACTGCACCTGCTGCCGCTGCTGCTTGCTCGGTAGCACTGCCATGGAGGCGGGAGAGGCTCCCGTCACCGCAGCTGCACTTGCCGGGCACAGCTCCACTGCTGCTTGCCCCACTGCACCTGCCGCCGCCACTTGCTCAGTAGCACTGCCATGGAGGCGAGAGAGGCTCCCATCACCGCAGCTGCACTCGCCAGCCAGCCGTGACCCTAGCTTCTGGCTGAGCAGCGCTCCCACTGTGGGGGTGCACTGACCACCAGGGGGTAGCTCCTGCGTTGAGCGTCTGTCCCCTGGTGGTCAGTGCGTGTCAGAGCGACCGGTCGTTCCGGTCATTCGGTCATAACAGTCACTTAGGCTTTTATATATAGAGATTGCTTATCTCTCTGACCCCCAACTGGACTGTGTGCTTCATGAGAGCATGTGCACGGGGATGTTGCTTTGCTCACTTCCCAATCTGTAGATCCTAGAACAGTGCCTGGCACACAGTAGATAGTCAATAAATATTTGTGGAAGGAAAGGAAAGTGGGAGAGACAGGAGGAGGGGAGGAAGAGAGGAGGGAAAGTAAAGGAGGAAAGAAGAGAAGAAGTTTTCGTCTAAGAACTAACAGAAAGGGTCCATCCTGGTCCCTGCCATCAGCTGAAAATTCCTTAAGTACAATTCTACACAAGACCCTCCTTGCTCATCAGTCCTCTATAGCTCCCCACTGTCTAATGGAGCAGACAATGCAGCCTGGCATTCACAGCCCTGCACAAGCTAGAACTAATGGAATCTTCCTGCCTCATCTCCTTCCCCTGCACACACCTAAACCCAAGCCGTTTCCAGGGACTCTGCTGAAGCTCATGGCTCCCTACCACTGCCCTCGGTGAATCTGGGTCATGAAGCCATCCTCCAGGTCCTGACACAGTCGGATTTGAATCCTGGCCTCTCTGTGGACTGCCTGTCCCAAGAGTGAAGAAGGAGACACTTGGGGAACCTTCGAGACAGTGCTCAGCACAGAGGCTTCTCAATCTCAACAGCAGTGCCACTGTGGGCTGGATCCTTTGTGGTGGGGCCATCCTGTTATTACAGGAAGTGGAGCAGCATCCCTGGCCTCTACCTATCACCTGCTAGGAGCAACCACAGGTGTGACAACCATGTCTCTACACATTGCCAGATGTCCTCTGGGTAAGGCTGCCAGATCCAGCAATGTATACTTATACTAAAAATTATTCATTATCTGAAATTCAATTTAATTGTGTGACCTACCTGTATGTCATCTGGTAACCCTACCTGGGGGGAAAAATTAAGAACCTTCATTATGAACCACTGGGTTGAAGTGGAATCACCATGGCATCCCAGTAGTAACATCAGTGGTTTCTCTCACTTTCCTCCTACCTTCTTAGAAAGTCCAGCCCACCTCCCCCATCCTATCACCTTCCAGGGCACCGGAGGTTCAGCTCCCCAAACAAGCCCAGCTCAGCCCTTGTGTTAAAGGCTCCTCCTGTCTCCTTCCTGGGGTCTGCCCTCCGGCCAGCAAGCCCCTGCCTTCTTTCCACCAATTAAGTGGTCTCCTAATCCCAGCCTGGAGGCAGGAAAACAAGGCAGTTAGTCACTTTGCTTCCTTTATCAACTCTGAGTCACATGGCTAGCTCCTTTAATGGCAGTCGTCATGGCAACGGGAAGCCAGTGCCTGCTCTCTCTGGAAACCAAAACAAAATTAAGTGGTGGAGGTGGGGAGAGAAAGGAGTCAGGATAGCGCTGGTTGGGTTTACTAGTAACTGGAGGAAATCATGCTGGGTCAACCCTGTCTCCAGCTTTCCCTAGGTGGCATCGGGGAGATGGAAAAATAAGATGCCTGCCCTGGTAAAGCGCAGGCTAATGTGGTGGGTGTTTTCACATTGTTTATCCTGATGGTTGAGTAATTTTCATCTCCAGTATGAATAAACTGAAGCCCAGACACTTGGGAATGTAAAGAGGGATGCTCATCCGAGACTGTGCAATTTACAAGCCATCAATGTGAGCTTCTCCCTCTTCTTTCCATGTTCCCCAAGTCCTCCCCACTCCTTCCCTCTCGCTTTTAGGACAGGACCAAGTGCTCTGTCCACATTGTTCTCCTTTCTCTTGGAACTCCCCCTACTCCGAGTCCTCCCATTACTCATGTTCGCAGTGCTCCCTCCAGCCGCAGATGCAGTTCCCTCTGCCAGGAATGGTTTTCTTCTGTCTCTTCTCACTTCCTACCTTCACCTGAAAGGCTTACTCATCACCCTGGCCAGGGAGCTCAGTTGGTTTGAGTGTCAGCCCCCTACGCCAAGGTTGCAGGTTCGATCTTCAGTCAGGGCACACACAAGCAGCAACCAATGAATGCGTAAATAAGTGGAACAACAAATCAACGTTTCTTTCTTCCTCTCTTTCTCCCCCTTTCCCTCTCTCTTTCAAAAAAAATCAATAAAAATAAATGCACATATCCTTCACATATCTTAAGCATAAGGTAATTTAAGATATGTAATGCATGCAGTTACTGCTCTGTTATGTTCTTGTGCTGCAAAGTACCTCTCCTTCAGACCATGGTGCACAGCCTGTAATTATCTTTTTAATTACACTCGGAACGTCTGTTGGGGGCTGTCTCCTGTACTAGAAAGTCAGCCCCAGGAGGGCAGGGCCTGTCTTGTTCACTGCCACATCCACAGAGTCCAGCCCTGCCTCTGGCACACAGGTGCCCCTCAGCACCCGCATCTGAACCCAGCTCTGGCGGATCCCAAGGCTCCTTCTTGGCCTGCTTCCACAGTGGCTCCCTGAGTTAGCACTGGACAGAGCTTCCAGCCCCACAACCCCTGCTGGCCTTTGTGGCTTCAGCGGCTCAGGCAAAGCTTGCAGACCAGCCAGGCCTGCCTACAGAAACTGATTGTGAAGCCGCCTCTTCCACAGGAAGGATGTGGGGAGCCTCCAGGCAGACCATGACAGCAGGGATGTGGCTCCTCTGAACCCAGAGGAGAAGCAACAGCTGACCCGACCCCCGGATTTTTAGGCATTCCACTGGAGACTGGCTCTCTGGTATTAGGGGGACATGCAAGGAAAGGAGAGAGGTCTGCTTTGGGGGGAACAAACCTGTCACCATGCCCTTAGGGGCACCCATGCTAAACAGAGGGGCTCACAGGACAGAAGACTTGAACTTGTTTCTCTTTACTCGGCTGTACCCTTGAAACATCACTTACTCCTTCTGGGCCAGTTTCCTCATCTGTACAATGGGAACTATACCTCACACACATGCTGAAATGATGGCGCTGGGTAGCTGTGGAAGGGCATGTTTGTGACATAAGGGCCCAGAGCCTGGCTCAGACAGACCTGGGGGTGCGTCCTCAACTCTGTCCCTTCTTAGCCGTGTGCTCTGAGCAACTCACCCTCCCTCTCCAAGCCTGTTTCCTTGTCTGTAAGATGGGACAACCTCACTCACTTCACAAAGTTACTGTGCACACAGGGTGAATGGGAGCTCTGGTTACTAAAATGATGTGCCCCAAGAAATGCAGAATTTAGAAACAGCCACCAACTTGTGACTGTTAGGTCCTGCCTTCTGATTGCAGATCCAGGGTCAATAGGTACTTAGGCCCTTTGTCCAAACTTGCTCGGTTCTGCCCCTGCCCCTCTCAGGTCCAAGCGGGATGCCAGTCTCTGATCAGGAGATGATCTTGGCCGGGAGCCAGGCAGAAAGCTCATTCCGCGCCCCAAACCCAGCCCCTCCCAGGAGAGAGGATGCAGGCTCAGACCACTGGCCACCAGGGACAAAGTGTTCCCTTCAGCTTGGCCAATCACCCAAACTAGACTGATATGATGGGATCTCCAAGGGCAATGGACCAATGCTCCCTTCTCCAGGTGTGGAAACTGAGTTCTTGAGAGGGAAGGGGACTTGTCAAGGGCACCAAGGGAGCTGGTGGCAGAGCTGAGACCAGGGCCCCAGGTGCCTGGCTGACATACTCCTCTGCCTGCAGCCCCCTCCCAATGAATCAGCCAACCATTTCCTTAAAAACACAGCCATTCCAGTGAAAACATCTGGTTTGGTTAAACAATGAACAAAAATATTGGAGGTTTTTAACCTGAAGGCTTTGGGGGGGGGGATACACACCCTCCCCTGAAATAGTCATCATCATGTGTGGGTTGTCGGTTTTGCTGGAAAGAGGTTCTGGACAGAGCTTTCTTCAGGTCCCACAGGGTCTCTACGAGGGCTGAGCTGAAAAGTTCCGGGCCTTTCTGAGGGTTCCATGTATCCCGTGTGTCTCCTTATTCAGAGAGGCCAGGATGTGCAACCGGCCCCGGGGCTGCTTCTTGAAACAACATGGGCACACCACACACCACACACCACACACACACACACACACACCGATGCTCCCAGAGGAGGGAGGGGCAGCAACAGGTCGAAACCTGGAGGCTGCCGTGCTGGCTGTCTGCCATCAAGCAGGGAGGGGCTTCTCGGGGCTCAATGAGGACACGAGATGCTGACACCCCAAACACAGAGACAGAGGGATCAGGCCAGCCCCCACCGTCTACGGGCTAAGGACTCAAGATACACCAGTGATGCCGGCTCGGCAGCAATGGGGTCCCAGGCTGAGGGATGTGAGTGACATAAGAAGGGTATACACACAGTCACAGCCTCACTCACTCACACACAGACTCATGCATCATACATCACACACACGTGGATACACACACGGATATACATACATAGTCACAGCCTCACTCATTCACACAGATGCTTGCATCACACAGATACACATCATACTGAAAATACAAACACACAAACACATATACATGTACACACAATACACAGATATTCTCATAGATACACACACAGCTACATATCCTTATCCACACAGGCATGTACATACATACACATACACACACACAGTCCAGGCATCTAAATGCTTCCCCAGACACCCCTCACTATAGATTCTCCCCTCTCTGCAGGGGAACATGGGCTACTAACTCCAAAGGCTAGACTGGGCTCCCTGCAGTCCAGGGAGAGAGGGAGAGGGGCAGAGGGACTGAGAATTCGGGGGGGGGGCATGGGGATGTGGGGGGAAGCTTTATTTCCCCACAGGGTTATCTATTCCCTTTCCTAAAGTCTGGTCCTCCTTCTGTAGCCCCATCCAGACCCCCCTGCCCTATCCCCGCGGGTGCTTGTCT